GTCTCTCAGGACCCAGGGTCCACTGGACATTCCCAGCCAATGGTGTGCGACTGGGTGATGGCTTCTCTGTGGTGCCTTAGTTATCTGCCTTGCTTCTGGTGCTGTGGGGTTGCTTTTGAGGCCAGACTCAGAATTTCCACGCAGGATACGAAGAGTGGGAATGGTGGCCAGATTTCTCTCCAAGTAGCCGGTTGAGCAAATCGGCCTCCTAGGGGAGCTCATCTTCAGAGTCCTGGTCTCTGAACATGGATTCCTACTTAGTGTTAGACACCTGGGTGGGACCAGCTGTGAGACACAGCGATTGTCCTCAGGGGAGTCCCTGTGATCCTTGCTTAATTTGGGGGGAATTATTAAGTCTCTTGTATTAAGAGCAAGAATCCAGGCAGGGCCGATATTTTCCTGCCATTTTACAGGGGAATGAAACGAAGCCCAGACATTCACAGTACAAAGAGAAGAATTCTAGAGCTGGGGTGGGTGGGGATGTCCACATGGGAGAGGGTCGCCTGTCCCAAGAAGCCGTGGGTCCTGTGGCAAGAGTTGGGGAGTCTGTGTGGAGACAACCTGAGCCCTGACTTGGAATGGAAGTCCTACCTGGACATGCCAGCCGTGGCCGGGGTCCTCTGTCCTGCAGCAGGCCTGTCTCAGGCAGTAAACAGCCTCTCTGGCCATCAGGTCCCATCCTCTCCCTCTTCCCAGGTTGTTGGTGGGGTCAGCCGGGTCTAGGATAACAGGCCTGGGGGACAACAGGAAAGCAGAGCTCTGTCACACTTAGACCAGATGCACTCATGTTGTGCGTGCTTTGGTGTAGGAAGAACTATCTCTAAGATGAAAGTCTTGGTTTAGGATGACATTTGTAACCCAAGCTGCCCAATCAGAGTGAATCTCTTGAGATTTTGCTTGGAAGGTTTCCTCTTGTACCAGAAGGTATATGTCTAAAGGAGAAGCCTAGAACTGATGTAACCATAAAGGAATGAACCTGATTTTAATGGTAAAGCCCTGGAAGGGGCAGAGCTGAACAAATCATAGAAAGGGATTCGGATGACATAGCAAGCACCTAGATCATGCCATACCTGAAGCTTCTTTTACGTTTTGGGCTTTCCAGTTGCAAAAGTCCTTTTATTTTAAGAATTATTCCAGTTGGCTTTTCTATTCCTTGAAGTGGAAAGTCAGACAATCAACACACTCACCTGTAGTCCTTCAACTTTTGTTTGATAAAGTTTCTGATGGTCTCATTTTGGAAATCATAGTACTTGGTCCAGTAAATGCAGATATCTTTGTAATCTCTGAGGAGTTTCATGACAGCCACAAGCCCTTCGTCCATGTTGAAATTCTCACTTTCGTCTGCACCCCTTTCCCAGGCATAAATGGTCAGTAGCTCCAATGCATATTTTGAAGGCACTGCTTGTCCTCGGTATTTATCTTTCACGTACTGGAGAAGGTATATTGGTTGGGGTGGGGGGAGGAGAGAGGAAAGAGAGAAGGCAGGGGAGAGGGAGAAGGGAGATTTATTATATAAGATGAGTGATCTTATATGGGCCATCAAGATTTCAATAAAAGAGGAAGTTAGGGTCACTTATGGACCTTCAGGGCCTCTGAAGTCCATTTTATTCATTTGGAATGGACGGAGCAATACACTATATTAAATATAGGAAATAATTGGAGAAAACTAAGTCACACAGACAACAG